GAAGACCCGCCCCCGGGCCCCACCCGGCCCCACCCCGGGGAGAGCGCGGCCGCAGTGCGCTGTGGCGGCGCCAGGGAACCCGGAGCGGGGCGGGGAGAAGCCCCGCCGGGAGGGGCTGCGTTTCCCCTCCCGCACCTTTCCTGCCTGCAGAATCGCGGTGGAGGGGACCCGAGGTTCTCCTGAAACCTCCTTTCACCTGGCCCTTCATTGGCTTCCACAAACCCGGCGAGGAAGCACCTGCCCCTGGCTTGCCCGCAGGGACTCTGACCCGCCTCACCAGTGATGCGCGCCTGCAGTGTTGGGGTTCTGAATCCTCCCGCCTGCCGTCCCCCAAACCCCGGCCTGGAGGTGCCTCGCGGGCAGAATAGAGTCCTGGACTTCTCAGTACAACAGGCCAGGCCTGTAACATTGATGCAATGCCTGATGCGTACCAGCTGGATACGCTGCTTTTACATGGATCATCTCATTTGATTTTCAAAGCCAAGGTGAGTTGTACATGAGTGTTTACTTATATAAGCATTCTTTGAGCTGTATGCTTAAAATGTGTGCATTTTTAAAAACCTATGAGAGAGGTGCTGTAAGCATACCCATTTCACAGAGGAGGAAACTGAGGTTCAGAGTGCTCCTAACTTACCAAGGTCTCTACCGCTGTTTGTGGTGGTGCTGAGGTTAGAATGGAGGCAGCATCACTCCAGAGTCCAGCCTCTTAACCCCTCGAGATTGGGCTCTGAAGGGGAAAAAAAAAAAAAAAAAAGCTGGCCTTCTAGAATCTATGCCACCTCCTCCACCCTTGGCGCCTATTCAGTCCTTAAACTTGGTGTGGCACAGTCACTGGGTGGGGAGGGATTAGCCACCCATTCAGGGAAGCAAGAAAGGCCTGAGCCAAAAGTAATCTCTGAAATCATATCGTCCATCCTTTTCTCTATCTGAGAGCTCAGAAACCAGAGCCCAAAGGGACAATTTACCTCGCCTGTTCAAAATCTCATGGCTCATTAGAAAGCCTGCCTGGGTTTTGCAATTCATCCTGGCGTACAGGACAATCCAGCGAAGCAGCAGTTTGGGCCTGGGAGAGTCTTTCCCCTTGCAGAGGGAGCCTAGGGAGAGGTAGTTGCATTGGTCAAGGGTTCTCGCCCTCTAATGGCCAGGGCCCTGGAGCCCCAGCAAGGAGCAGTACAGAAGTCTTTCAGCAAAGAGATGGGAGCTATTTACACTCAGAGACTGCAGGCCCTGGGAAGGGGTATCCAGTGGGGAAGGGCTGGTCCAGGCTGGCTTTCAGTATCTCAAGACATGCAAACGGTAGGGAAGCCAGCCCATGGAACGGCTGTTTCCTCTGTGAGGGTCACACATCTCCTTTCCAGAACAGGAGGCGATACAGAATGAAGGAAGATAAACGTGGGCTAGAAGGAAGCAAGACCAGGAAGGTAGGTATCTGGGGCTGGGAGCCCTGAGGGGCCACAGCCAACAGAATACGGATGAGGTTGGAGGAAAAGTTGCTTACTTAGGAAACACCCAGCGGAACCAGGGTGTCTGCTCTCAGAGCCTTGGAAGGCCTGGTGTGCAGGCATTGAAATCCCACCTTAGAAGATGATGCCCCGAGGTGCGGGCATCATCTTCATCACCTACCATACTCCTCACCTAGTGAATGAAGGGGAAGTCAAACTGGTTCCCAAATGTAGGGCCAGGGGTTTTTCCTATACATCCCAGCTTTCCACCCCCTATGCTGTCCCCACCCTCCTTCTTCCTTATCCTGGACTCCTCCCCATCGCCTAAAGTTTGTGAACTGGTGTCAAGGTCATTACCAGGTTCTGAGCTGTGTAGAGCAAAGGACTACAACTCCCTAGAGAAGCCATGTCCCCAGGCAGCATCTGGAGGGAGGGGTAATGAAGGCTGGATCTTCCCCTGGGGTCGGTGGGGTTGCACCTCTCCTGCCGGGATGTCAGCTGTCCTGGCTCTGCCCAAGTGAGCGGAGAGTCTGCCCTACTTTCCCTTGCAGCCAGCACCCAAGGCCCCGCAGCTCTACCATATTGGGGCTATCCTCATGGCCCTGGAGCACCAGGGAAGGTGGCCCTAAAGGAGCCAGGCCCCATGATCTCCTACTGTGTTATCTGTCCCAAAGGAAAAAGATGCCAACCTGCCCCTCCACACCTCACTGGGAACTCACGTGTTGGGAGAGAGACAAACAAAGCTTTGCACGCCACTGTGCTGTGATATTGGAAAGTACCTAAAACGCTGGTGGCACAGATGAGGGAGTGATAACCAACACTTGGGTGGTTCAGGAAAGAAGCCTGGCCTTGAAGGAGAAGCAAGAGTTCACTAGACAGATGGGGTGCAGGGCATTCCAGGTGGAGGGGAGACTCGGAATAGCAGAGGCATGGAGGCTGCAACAGCAAAGCACAGCTTGGATTGGCTTCCTTTTCGTCGTTCAGGCTTCAACTTAAAAGGCTTTCTTGACCACCTACGCCACCAGAACCCTCTCTCCAGCACTTGGTTCTAGTTCCTTTTTAGAATTTACCTACTATTTTACATTTTGTTGTTGTTGTCTACCTCCCTCACACACACCCCTGAAAATAAACTCTATACGCCCTCGGACACTGTGTGTGTGTTTTTTTCCTCGCTGTCCTCAGCATCCAGAACAGTGCAAGTGAACATACTTTACTAGGTGCTCAGTAAATGCTGTTGAATGGATGGGTGGAGGAATGAGTCGTGTGCAGCTGCAGGCAGTGAGAAACGTATTAGGAAGCGAGAATTCCCCCCTAAGCAACTCATGAAAGATACTAGCTCCAGAAGAGAGGGCTCCTAGGGACGAGGTTTGGGGCGTCGCGGTGGTGGGAGGCGGTGTCCCAGGCCCAGGTCGGCTTTTCAGAAAGTAGGGAACTGGCCGCCGAGAGCTAACTGACCCGCAGCCCGTGCAGTCACTCACGCTGCGTTCCCGGGTCTTTCTGCCTCCAGAAAAGCCAGGGGAGGGAGGGTCTTCGCTCCCCAGGCACCGCCTCTCAAGCCTCCCGCTGGGCCCTTCTGGTTGCCTCCGAGCCTCAGCCTGGGCGGTCAGCGGCGGGTTGGGGAGGATCCCCTCGCCGGCCTCCCCTCTCCTTCTCCCCACCTTTTTTCTTGCTTCTCTCCGTGGTCTCTGCCGCGCCCTAGCCCCGCGGCCCCGCTGCAGCCCAGCGGCCCCCGCCCCCTCCTGTAAGGGCGAAATTGCTAAACTTGTAGCAATAATGACCCTGCATTCAGGCGGCCGACTCCCGCTGAACGTCTCTGCGCCCCGGCCAGCCGGGCCTAATCAGCGCGGCCCTCCCTGCTGCCCGCCCAGCCTCCGTCCCCCCACGCCGCCCCCTCCCCCAGCGCACAAAAGTGGGGAACAAAACCCCCCGCGCATTTCTCCGTCCCTCTGTTGAGCAGACTGCTGCACAAAGCCCCCGCTCTAAGCAGCAATGGGGAGTTGGGGAGGGGGGACGTCAATCCCGATGCTGGGGTTTTTGTTCGCGCAGGGGACTTCGCCTTCCTACCACACCTTTTGTTCGGGACTCCAATAAAAAGCCATTCTTTCCGCACCTTCCCGGCCCGGAGCCGCCTTTCAGCGAGGCCCGGCCCCACAATGGCGCGGCGCTCTGAGGCCTCCCCATTCACCCGCCTTGGCACGCTCACAATCGGCCGTGTGGCAGCACAGACCTCGCGCAGGCATTCTCCGCAAGTGACAAGGAGCGGCATAAAGCCGCGGCCGCCGGGGGAGAAGGGAGGGCGGCCGAGGGGGAGAACGCGGCCGCGGCGGGGCGCAGCGCTCCCGGGCGCGTTGTAAGCCCCGGCGGCCAAAGAAGGAGCTACCTTCGCGCCGCCTGCGGCTGGGCCTGGGGAAGTTTCCTTTCCCCGGGCGACCCTCCAGGTGGGGCAGAGTCTAAGCCTCGATCCAAGGCAGACTCAGGCACTAGCCCAAACATCTGGGTAAAAATTGTGGGGGCGGGGATTACAAAGCCCCGGACCTCAAAAGGCCGGGATGCTCCGACCTATTCTCCCCACTAAGCAAAAAGAAATTGACGAACAAAGCCACGAGGAGCCCAGACTTGCAGCCTGGGGACTGGCGCAGGGCCCGACAGGCCTGCGATCGCCCAAGGAATACTGCTCTCCCTTACTCACCTGGTCCTCCCCTGCCCCCGGGTTTAAAGGATCCCTCCGCACTGGGGGGTGGGTAGGGGGCTAAACAGAGTCTGTAGCCGGCTAATGGTTTGGAAATATTGCACCTTGTTTATTGACTCCTGTAGTGTATGGCAGCGGGTGTGTACACGGCATGTGGATATAGTTTTATATATATATTATATGTGCTGAATACAGAATACGAAACAGAAAGGAACCCGGTGACACCTTCCACGGGCCACCAGGTCCCGGATTTGTTCAGCCCCCAGACTGTTTATCTCGCTTCGCTGGTTTTTCTTGAAGAGTTCTACCCCCCGGACAATCCGGAGATCCAGGCCGAGGATCTCTGCTGAGGGCAGGCGGTTGGAAAAAGGAAAATCGAGTGTAGTGTGGCGCTCCGGGCCCGCAAAGGGGGCCAAAGGTCCGTGGGGCTTGGGGATTTCTCAAGCCACGACGCCCATTTGTCTCTCCTTCATGCTATTTTGTGTGTGTGTCTTTGGGTTCTCCGCCAACGCTGTGAGGAGGCCTTGGGAAGGCCGAGGGAGAGAAGCTTCTCGCTCGGGGAGAACCGAGCGGCAGCCAGATTCCCAGCCTCTCGCACTCCGTTCGGGGCCAGGTCGGGGCCACCGTCCTCCCGGGCACCAGCGGCCTTTCTGCCTCGGAGTCGGTCTCCGCACCGGCCCTGGGCATCCTCCTCGCCCCTGAGACCCCTTCCTCAAGCGGAATGTGAGCTGCGCTCAGGGCTCTCTAGTGAGCAAGACGAGTTTTGTTATTTTTTGTTTTTTAACAAGGGGACTTGGCCCTTGGATCCAGCCTTTCTCGCACTCAGTCCCGCGGCGCCAGGCTGTGGTGGGGCGCCCGCCGCCTTGACCCTACCAGGCCCGGATGCCCTGCAAGGTGCCCTGCGCGCAAGCTGCCCCGGCCGCCGCACCCTGATGCAACGGCTGAGCGCCGCCGCCGCCGCCGCCGCCGCCGAAGCCGCCCAGGTTGCTCACGTTCACAAAGGGGCCGCCTCCGGCCGCGCTGCAGGCGGGCTGCAAAGCCGCGGCCGCCGCAGGGGCCCCGCCGCCCCCTCCGCCGCCGCCGCCGGCGGGGTACGCACAGCCGTAGCTACCGCTGTAGGCCGCGGCGGCGGCGGCGGCGGCAGCGGCGGCGGCGGCGGCCGCAGCCGAATTTCCATAGCCGTAGGCGGGGAAGCCGTTGTAGGAGTAGGCGCCCGCGCTCACGCTGTAGGGCGCCCCGTAGGCTTGGGCGCCGGGCGTGACGCACGGCTTCCCGTCCCGCACCAGCACCGGCACGGCCACGCGGCGCGGCGGCGGCGGGGGCGCGTGCGCGCCCAGCTCCAGGGACTTGTCCTGCCGCTGTCTCTTGCACTTGTACCTGCGATTCTGGAACCAGATCTTCACCTGCGTGGACGTGAGCTTCAGGCTGCTGGCGAGGTGCTCGCGCTCCGGCGCCGACAGGTACCGCTGCTGCTTGAACCTGCGCTCCAGCTCGAAGACCTGGGCTTGCGAGAAGAGGACCCGGGGCTTCCGGCGGCTGCGTGGCTTCGGCCTCTCGCCATCCTCGGCCGCCTTACAGTCTCCCGTCGCCTCCAGAGGCTTCTTCAGCGGGCAGCTTTCTGCGGAAGAAGCAAAACATCAGCGTCCCTTAGATGTGCCAGACCTCACGGCAGCTCCGACCCCGGAGCACGGTGCCCTTGTTGGTAGCTGCACGGAGCGTGCGGTAGTAAATGTCTAGAGTTTTTGGAAAGTTTGTGGCTCCGTCCAAGTACAGCTAGAACGCCCTCGAGGCACGTTCCACGGGGAGGGGTAGTTATAGTTAGTGCGCGGCGTTTATTTAGAACTTGAGCATCTGCGAGAGAGGAGATTACCCCGTATTACATGTGCGGCTCAGTGTGCTAATGACTATTTTCAGGATGCACGTTTGCAACTATATAATAACTACAGTATTTGCAAACTTGTTTGCCTTCCACGCCGTCACAGATAGTGGAAGGTGTGAGGCGTGTTGGTATCTGGGAGCCGGTATGCGAGAGTTGCACGGACATCTTTCTGATAGAAAGTGTAACGCTCGTGCATTGCCCAACGACTAATTTGTGCTCCTAAAGCACTACATGCTCACGGCTAAATGCCTGTGTGATGATGTCCGTGCTGCCTTAGAGAGAAAGAAAATTTGACTGATATAGACAGCTTCACGTCGATTTTAGGCCCAGGGGAGCTGTCAGAGGGGAGGCAGGCCTCGGCTTTGGCCAGATCAAATTTCCTCTTGGGGAAAGAGATTCCACTGTGTCTCCTCAGACACAAACACCTCCTTGGAGGTTGTATTCAGTTATCTGAGTTCCCTGCCCGAGTCACCTCCCATCGATGGGAGCGCCAGGATCCTAGACTAAGTCTGGCGCGGTTTTCCTTCGGCCGGAAGCAGCACTGCCTGGGACACAAAGCAAAACGTTAAGAATTCTTTAAAAAAAAGGCCGGCGCCTCAGGGGTGTGAGTGCTCTGCGGAACAGACTGTGTTCCCACGCAACCTCTCTCTGCCGGGTGCTGTGGGTTCGAGGATGCTGAGCTCCAAGTAAAGAGAAGAGGAAATCACTCAGCTGGTCTCTAGCAAACTTCCTGTGTCTCCTGGATGCTGGACACAACCTGCTTGGAGCCCCCTTTTTTTCTGAAAAGAGGGACCACTGCTCTGGCATCAGAGAACTGGTCTCATGCTAGAGGGAAGGTGGGAAAGATTCAAGCCCTGGCCCCTTTAGCTCTTGGAAAGAGCAAAAATACAGTGAGTTTGCCCGGACTCAGCGGCTGGGCCCGTTGCTTATCTACATTAGGGCGGCAACACCGACCTTCCCTTCCCTTAGGGGCTGCATGGACCCCTCTCTGGGAGGAGGAGTTGTCGGGGTCACCTGGTCCTTCTCCCTCCACCCCAGGCACCTGCTCTTGGCGGAGTTGTCCTGGACCAGGGCGAGACATGACCCCAGCCAAGGGCTAAAGGGGCAGGTTTTGGGAGGTATCTGGGGGCGCTCCGCCATTGCTCCAGATGTGCGGGTGCGTTTCCTTCCCCCCTCTACTCACTTTGGCTCCGGTCCCTCACGACCTCGGAGTCCTCTTCATGTTCCTTAGGCCCGCCGCATGAGTCTCGCAGGACCGCGTGGACATAGCTCTGCGGACAGAGCCCAGAATCCCCGTGGCCGTCGGCCGTGGCTAGTGAGTTCAAGTAGGACAATTTCTCCCCTTCTTCTTCCTCATCTTCTTCCCCTCCGTCAGAAAATTGCGTCCCATCGGCGGTGGCCAGCATGCAGGGCGCTGAGTGGAAGTGGTGCTCCAAGTCCGCTTGCAAATGGGCGCCGTGGAAGTGCTGTTGCTGCTGCTGCTGCTCCAGGTTCAAGATGTCTTTGACTGAGAAAGGGGTGGAAGTGACCGGGCTTGGTAACATCATCAGGGCCACTTAATTTTCCAGCCCAAATACTCAATAAATCCCGGCGGGGGCGGGGAGGCAGCGCAGCGCTCCAGCTCTCCTTCTGAACTCCACCGCGGCTGCCGAGTGGGGCTTTTGACAGACGCGGTCCTGCTCCAGTCTAAATCGGCTCCATTGGCCGGACCTGGGAGTCTGGGTTTTGTTACAGCCACTGCAGGGTCTGGGCCCTCGGTGGTGAAGCCTGTGTCTGAGGTTCGTGCGTCATGCCAGGGGCGGGGCTCTCGCCTCAGCCTCCGTTCCCATTGGTTCCAGCTCATGCGGACCACGCCCCCCACTTCCACTGCGTGGGGAGTAGTGACCCGACCAGAAATAGACAAGGACTACGAGAGAGTCTCCAAGTCTGAGTCGCTGCTGGTGAGTCTGCACCGCCTTGGGTGCCCGAACACCACTTCCCGCCCCTTCTGGCCGCACCTTCCCGGCCAGCGCCAGTTCTGGGAGGTTTCCTGTCCGCAGACCAACGCTAGGAAGGATGGATGGCCCAGGAGCATGATTTTTCCAGCTGCTGCGGGGCAGGAGAGCTTCCTTGCTTATAAATATCGGGCATTAGATCCCCAAGGAGGCAGAATGTTTTATATACCTATAGATGATCGACGTGTCCGTTCCCGCCTCATTGACTTTGCTCAAGCTGCTCCCTCCCATTGGAACGCCTTCCCCACGCTCCCACGCTTGTCTCCACGAGTCAAAAGTGTTCTCCAAGGTTCTGCTCAAATACCACTTCCTCCAAGAAAGTGTGCCCCCCTGGTCGCCTGGCCGGAGCTCATCTCTCTTGAATCTGAACTTGCAGCGTGTGTTAGTAAAGGACATTCGGCCACTTATTACTTCCCACTATAGCTATATTGCCTACTTGCCCCACCCAGGTAGACTATGAGCCCCCCAAGGCAGGGTCCCAGTTGCATTTGCCCTTGTATTTGTCTTGCAGCAACTGCACTAAGCAGGTGTGTGAGAGACAGTACGATGGAGTTATTATTGAACTTTGTTTTCTCACAACTCTTGGTTTGAATCCTAGCCTAGTCAGTGTGTGGCCTTGGGCGTTTCTAAGCCTCAGTTTCTTTGTCTACAAAAAGGAGACAATAATACCTTCTTCAGGGTTGTTGCCAGGGATAAATGAGGCAAAACATGCCAGGAGCCAGGGGAAGGCCCCACACATGTTAAGTGCTCAAATACATGTCAATTACTGCTATTCAACATTAGAGGTCAAGCAGTGTTTGTTGACTGCACTGGTGAGACAAAGCTGGAGCACTGCGCACACGGTGGCTTCATACAGTCTAGATGAAGAATCTGTCCTCAGAAGGGAGGCGAAAAAACCAGCCGTGGAGACTGTCCTTTCCGCCTATTGAAATTGGGGGCCAGTTTCTAGGCCTTGACCCTTGGAGGCCTCTAATTTTCCCAACCCACACACCTTCTGGCGCCCTCGTGCGGCCCCCTTCGTGTATTCTAGGCGAATCTGTGGGGGTCTCCTGAGATACAGGACACTCCACGCTGGTAGGGATCATCTTCCCCCACAATAGGCGCTCGCCTGCCATTCCGCCCAGCCCCATGAGGAACGCGGCGCAGCTAAAGACCCTGCATAGCGCTGGCCTTGAAAGAACAGAGATCTGTTCCCAACCAACCTTGATGCTCCATCCGGCCTTAGCTGCCCTAAGCATTTTTTTTTTTTTTTTTTTTTTTTTTGGCAGTCGAGATGGTGGAATTGGGGGAGATCGGCTTCCGCTGGAAGGAGCGGGGTGGACCGCGCAGGAACTGTGGACAACGTCCCTGGGCGGTGGCAGACATGGAATGGGAGTGGGGAATGAGGGTGGAGAGCTGCCAGCCCCCCCCCCTTCTCTCCTCACTCCCCCGCAACAGCAGGAGGAGTGGGTGTCCAAGACTGGGGAGAGAAAGAACAGCCGGTCGGGAGGTGGGGAGAGGCGGGGCGGTTCAAGAGGGAGCGGAAATGGTGGGGGAGTCAGCTCCTGGGGAGCTCGGGGAGCTGGGACGCGGCCGCGCGGGCCACGTGCGCTGGGGAGTTCTTAGGTGCCAGTGGCCCGTGGGCTGTGGGGGGACGCTTTGTGGGCAGGGCCTTGCGCCAGGAAGACCGCTCCCCAGCTACTGGGGCACCCTGTGCCTTTCAGCTCTGAATTCTCAGACTATTGACGCCCCAGGCGGGCCGGCGTCTCCAAACCAGGCCGTGGTGTTGCTGAAAGGAGGATGCGCCTGGTTTTGCGGCAGATCGAGAAAGCTTGGGCGCAAAGATCGAGAAAGAGGTGGGGGTGAGTGCACGGCACGGCCGGCTGCGAGTCCTTGAGCGTGTGCGTTGTGGAGTCAGGCAGATGAAGGCGAAGGAAGCTGCGCTCCAGCTTCACTCCTCCGCCCCCATCTCCAGGGCTAGACGCCTCGCGGGGGAATGTTTGGCTCCCCTCTGGTCCTCATATTTTTTTTACGCTTCTCTGGGTGCTTTCCTTACGTAATTCCAAGATTTAGAAAACAGAAAAAAGACAAAAGCCACCGACACTATCTCTCGAATTTCCAACCGAAGCCTGCATTTTCCCTTGCTACGTTCTCTGGCTTCTCGGCAGCACCTCGCTCCTAAGCTTTCCCTAAGTTCATCTCTGAGACCCCCATCTTAGATCCCGCGGCTGGGCACAGGGAACAACGAGGTATGGCCACGCACCCTCTGGAGTCTGTCCGGTTGCCTCCTCCCTGCGCACGTAGAAGGCTGTCTCCTCCCCACCCGCAGGCCCACTCGGTCCGTTCTCCTCCCCACCCGCTGCCACCAATACCCACCCAGATACCCTTGGGCCAGGCCTGAGTGGGTTATCTCCTGCGTCCCCTGACCGTGTTGCTCCTCAGCGGGCCGCCTGGGGACGAGTTCAGAGTCGATGGGCTGAAGGCTGGTGAGGATCCGGAGCGGGGAGCCCAGGTGCTGGGGCTTAGCAGCCGGTTTCTGCGCCCTGTTCCCCTTTGCTCTTCTCATACCCAGCCCCGCGCAGGGCTGATCTATGGCGGCGAGGGCGGGGGTGGGGTGGGGAGGAGAACGGGAGGCGGGGGAGACTTCTACCTGATATCTGGTCTAAAGCAGGGGCTCCAGCCATCTCTGGCTGCCCTCCCCTGCTTTTGGTGCGTCTGGTTCCCTGAAAGTTGAATTTCCCAGCCGGGATCCTCACCAGGCCGATCTCATCTAAATAAGTGGCCTGCCTTTTTGTACCAGCCGGCAGCCAGCCCTCCCCTAGACAGGAGAGAGTGTAGCCACCAGCTGCGCACCCCTGCCCAGGAGGAAAACCCCAGAGCACCAGTTACCTTACAGCCACCGTGGGTTCTCCGGAGTCACTTATCAGAATGTGGAATCTGCTTCCAAGCAGTATCCAGTTACGATTGTGTTCTGGGGCATTTGCATTCTCTTGTCTGAAACGAGGATCTTTAAAATCCTGGAGCTGTGCTCAACTAATAATAGGTTTTCGTTCCAGACAGTTTAGCTAATTACTGTCAGATAAAGTAAATATCACTGCACCCATGGAAGCGTTTGGTTTTATTTTAATCGAGTGTAGGGCAGGGTAGTATCTGCCTGTGAATGTCAGCTTGTCACATTATGCAGCTGTCTAAGTCCCCTTCCTCCCATATGCGATTAGAGATCATAGTAAAATGATGGCAAATTCTAGGAGGGGAAAGTGCTATATAGGTTCATAAGAGATTAAAAAAAAAAACCTGTACCTTTTTTGGAGAAAAGTCATGTGCTAACCATGAAAATAAATATGTTCTCAAATAAAAATGTGATGCTTCTTTGAAAACTTTAAAGTGTTCCCATAAGTTATTATTGTCTACACAAAAATTGCCTCATTAATATCCATATGAATATAGGCAGATCATCGATCATTTTAGTTATATATGCCACTGTTTTTGTTGTTACCTTCGAACTATTCAAATAACCAGTTAATTCTGTAACCAAACCCATAAAAAGGTTGAAAGTTATTGCGGCTTTCTAATCTCAATGTAGCACCAAAGTCAGAAGTGATATTTCTATTAAAGCATAAAAATTTCCTGTGATGAACTCACAGCTAGCCAAAACCACATGATAGATAACCTTTCAGCAGAATATATTTCATAGAATTTTAAAATTTTTTACCGCTCTCCTAGAAATTTTATTTTTAATGGCTCTTAAATAAATAAGTAAATAAATAAAAGGAAAAAGTTTCCTCTTTAGCGGCAGCACTAAATAGGCTTTTGTTATTTTGTTGGTGGTGTGTATGGGTGCATGTGTTTTGGTTTGATTTTTAGTGGAGGGATGTTAGGAAGCTATTCAAATTTTTTGATCAATCTAGAGGCAATAGTGTTTTGTGAGAAGGTTGAATACATTTTCTACTTTTTAAGAAACATCAACTTGGTAGGTCAGTCCCAGAAAGCACCGAACTGATCTAATTCTGTCAGAGGAAATATTTCCTCAGTTTGGTAATTTTGTAAGCGATTTTGAAAAGTCATTTTAGCTTGTTTTGCATGTATTTGTGTAAATGCCGTATTTTTCCATTTTGTGTCTGGAATTGAGTTTTCTAAAGAAGCCACCACGTCCCTTCCCTGGGAGAAAACCAGTCCAGGTTCAGTAATCCTGTAAATCTTTGTAAATTACAGGCCCTTGCGGAGGAAGTGAGTTTCGATTTCTCGGGGAGAGGACTGTCCGCATCTATGTGTATTTGCTCCACTCCAAAACATTTTAAGATAACAATGTAAATACAGCTTTCGTCACCAAAACAAGTTCTATTCTGCCCATAAAACACACCAGTTAGAAAGGCTAACTTTGTCGAATGAAAATCAATGCATATTTTTTCAAACAAACAAAAAAAAACCACGCCTACAGAAAGGATGCCTAAACACAGACGTTTTATTTGTACTATTTGGGAGTGCAGTGAAGTTTTAACTTGGGGATTAAATTGGAATTCTGGACGCATTCCTTAACTTCTTTTTAGTGTGAGTTTAACTTCCTGTAGCAAGAC